CGGGGGGGGCTTTAAAACCCACTTTCAGTTCAGGATGTGAGGGAGGGGGGTGAGCAGGGAGGAGGAAGCCCAGGACCCGCGCTCTAAGTTGGAAGGGACGCATGGGAGGAGCTGGAGGTAGCCCAGGTGTCAGGGGTCAGGAAAGGAGTTACTGGGCTTTCTCAGAAAGGCAAGAACCTTGTCTGGGGTGAGGAACGGGAAGGGTTTTCTCAGCGGGACGGAAAGGGAAGAATTTGGAGACTCTGGGAGCTGACCGGCGTCTCCGGGCACAGCGAGTCCTACCTGCAGGTCGGCTCCGTAGAAAGCAGCCATGGACGCATCGGCCACCAGCAGCGTTTCCACGAAGCGAGCCTCAGACACAAACCGCTTGGTCCTACTCGTGGCCCCCAGGGTCGGCGGCGGCTCGCTGGCGCCTTCCGCCTCCTCGTCTTTGCCCTGCTCGTCGTCCTCCTGCCTCCGACCCTCTCCCTTCTCCGCCTCCCACTCGGGCGCTCCCGGCAAGGGCTGGGCTTGGGCGGCGGCTGCGCGCCCGGGCCCCCAGCGCTGCAGGCGGTGCGGCTGGTGCAAGGAGCCCCCCGCGCCCTGAGGCTGGATGGTGAACTCCTCGCCGTCCAGCAGGAAGGAGCCGCTCAGCCCGCGGCACAGGCTGACGGCCGCCAGCGACTCGGGCTCCCCGTTCACCGTGCCCGAGAAGAAGCAGCTGCGCAGCTCCTGCTCGCCCCCCGCCTCCCCGCCGGAGCCCCCGAGGCGCTCGACCTTGAACTCGGGCGCCAGGAAGCTGGCGTCGGGCGCCAGGCGCAGCTCGAAGTCGCGGCCGAAGGCGGACAGGTGGAGCGCGAGCTCGCCCGCGCCGCCCGGCAACCGCGTGGGCACCACCAGCGCCGAGGCCGGCCCCCCGCCTCCAGGCCTGGCCGGGGCGCCGCGGGCGAGCGGCGGCGGCGGCGGCGGCGGCAGCAGCGGCAGCAGCAGCAGCAGCAGGAGCGGCGGCCACCGGGGGGCGGCGCGGGGCATGGGGGCTGCGGCTGCGGCGCGGGCGATGGAGGAAGAGGGCCCGGCGCGGGCAGGTGCTGGCGGCCCGGCCGCTGTCCCCGCGGGCAGGAGCTCGGGCGGCTGGCCGGCCGCGTGGCCCGTGGGCGCCTGGCGGCGGCGGTTCCCGGGCGGCCCCTCCGGCTGGCGGCGCTGCCGCTGCTCCCGCGCCCTCCCGCCCAGCCGAGCGCGAGCAACTGGCGCCCCGGCCGCGTGCGCGTCCTCCGCCCCTGCCTTCTCCCCACCCCGGGAAGCACAGAGTGGGCTGCCGAGCCCTTCGTATTTATACTTCCTTCCCGGCTTTGACATAAGAGGTTTATTTTTGATCTCTCACTATTCCCGTTTCCCCTCCCCTGGGATCAGAGAGAGAAACTGAAAAGAGGGAGCGAGAGAGGAGAGAAAAAAAATTTGGATGAAATGTAAAACCAATCAGGAGTCAGCAGGGCTCGCTCCTCCGCCCCCCCGCCCCCCTTTAAGTGTCAACTCCAACTTTTTCCCCTTCGCTTACGCGGTCCCACATTAACTCCTCCAGTGCTGGACAGGCCCCTCAACCAGCGTCCTTGGGGAGACCCCAGTCGCTCCCTCCTCTGAGGCCAAGTGCCCGGGACACATAGCCCAGGAGACCCTCACACCGGTCCCAGCGACAGTGTCACTTCGGGGATCCGACTGTGCAGAAGAGAGATCTCCAGAGCTTTGCATTGTAAAGCAAAAGAGGGAGGCGAGAAAGGTCATATTAAAGTCCCTCTGTCTGCACTTGGTGTTTTCACCCCAAGCTGCGGATCGGGGCAAGCAATACCACCTGGTTAAGGCAGCCAAGGGCTTTGTGACTGCCTGGTCGGGGGCTGGGGGCAGAACCCAGCACGGGGGTAAATTACATCAGGGGAGGTGGCAGCAGGGTGGAATCACGCCGGGGCAGGTAAGCACTTGGCGAGGAGGGCACCTGAGCTCCAGGGGCTTCGTGTCTGGCCCTGAAAACTCAACTGGAACAGTGCTCAGCTGCCCGGGGACCTCAAGAAAGGTGGCCCTCCCCCCCCCCCCCCATCGCACTGCCCACGGCTGTGGGTACCAGAGTCTATGAGAGTTGATTCATTCTGTCCCACAATGTCACCTCCCTGGGATGAGAGGGGCTGAAACCTGGAGAGGGGAATGGTACGGTCCTCTCTCAAGACCACAAAAAGCAGCACTGGCTGGCACCCCAATCCTAATGGCACAGGTCTGGGCTGGGCCAAGGGTCCTGTTCTCTAAGGAGTTGTTCTCTGAGTTGTCAGTGTGGGAGATTCCTGGGGCTCAGGGCCTTTGCTGGCTCACCTACCCCAGCAGCCCTGTTCTCAGCCTGGGTTGCGGTGCCGACAGACAGTTGGGGTCACGCCTTCTTCATTTTAGCCCATTCCACTCCCTCACCGTCTATGCAGGATCAGCATGAATGTGAGACTCTCAGGGCTTCTTACCCCCGAACAGGAGCCCCTCACAGACACAAAAGTTCCTTAGCGACTACAGAATCCCAGGGCAAGTCCTGGCAAATTCCCTCCAAGTGTCCCCTCTCTCTGCTTTCTCAGAAACAGAAGGCTTTGAGTTAGATGAAAGGAAGGATGAGCTTTTTATCGTATCATGCTCCCGAGAATTCTTTCCTGGATAATTTACGAGACAGGAATAACTGGACTGTTGGGGAAACACTTCCGGAGGCAGGGGGATGGACAGAACGGCCTCTTCAATCCTTTTCCAAAAATGAGCAAAACACTTCATCCCAGGACAATGGTATAACAGCCCTGGGGGAGTCTGACCAGGTCAGGCAATGAGTAATCCCATTTGCTTCAGGCCTTTTGTAACACTGTGATCTTTGGTCTTTGCTTCCTAGAGCCTAAAGTCCCCTATTCACCATCCCTCCAACCCCGGCCGCCCAGTAGACCTCCTGATTATCAATAGTAATTGGGTCCTTACATTTTCTTTCTATGTCCTTTGTTGGGGAGGCAACGGTTGTGCTCAGTCCCCTTCCTCCCATGTGTATATTAATGGCTGCAGGTGGGAGATTTAACCAGACCAGGGAAAGTCTTGGACATCCTTGGGCCTCCTGGTTTCAGCTGGGAGGGCTCTGGGAGTTGTTGTTTTTAAATAGAATGAAATGCCTCCAAAGACAGCTCTTTGGACGTTCCTTTGGAGAGAGGTCGGGTCGTGGACTTTGGGCTGAGCGTGTGTGGCCAGTCACTTGCGCATTCTGAGTCTTACACGCGGTAACGATGGCCACAAAGATGAATGACAAGAGGCCCCCCCACCGCCCTTCTGGATCCACCTTTCCCGGGAGCTGTACTTACCTTGCTGTTAACTCCAGGGTGGTGCCTGCCACCTGCACTGCGTCCTCAAGGTGTTAGGCTTACCTTAGCTATGCTTCCACCTAGTGCCCTTGCCGCTGGGACTGAGAGGGGGTCCCTGGCTTGTGGTGAAAGCCCTCAGGAGAATGGCAGGTGGAAACAGTACAAAACAAAATGCAACAACGGGCCAGTGAAAATCCCAGGCGGGTATCTGCTAGTTGTGGATTTCCTATGTTACCACGTTCCTTCCCAAAATGCATAATTACACCAGGGACTGGCAAGCCACGGCCCGTGGGCTAAATCCTGCATGCTGCCTGCTTTTGTATAGTACACAAACTAAGGGTGCTTGCCACCCCCATTTTTGAAATTATTGAAAAAAAAATGAAAACGAACAGTAAAATTTCAGGATTCTTGAAAATGGTATGAAATTCACTTCAGTGTCCATAAATAACGTGTTTTTGGAAAGCACCTGCAGTCATTCATCTACACATTGGCTGTTCTTGTACTATAAGGGCAGGGTTAAGCGCCCCTAAAATATATGTACTATCTGGCCCTTTACAGAAACGGTTTGTTGACCTCTGAATTACAGTAGAGCGACATTAATTTGGAGTCCTCAAATTTGGAATGTGGGATTATTTAGACTCAGTGTCTGTGATTCATGTGGAATAAGAATTTTAACATAATTTCTTGCTCTGAATATGAAGGGGAAATTATATAAAAAATGAAAGCCAAAATATCTCTGTCTTTAATTCTGTATCTAGCAATTATTTATTATTTAATTAGTCCTTAAATAATTAAAGGAAGTTTATGTTTATGGTACCTTATACTACAGGTTTATTATGAATTTCAAGTTTTTCATTAACTCATACTATTAGTAACTGGTTATCTCTTAGCTTATCACTAGAGATTTATAGAGTATATATTATAAATTTATAATGTATCCTAAGCTCTGCTATCTCTAGAATCTCCTTCCACTTGGAAGATCCATTAGTGGCCATCTGATCCATTTCCACTCAAATTTTGCAGAGAAAAAACAAATTCAGAGGTTAAATGACTTACCCAAAGACACATAATTAGTGGTAAAATTTTTCCTAAAATGCTATGGTACCCACTGCATGAAGATAAAAAAAATGTATTGCTTTCAAATTTCATTTGCAATTCATACCTTTCTGTTAAAAGCCAGGCAATGTTCTAAAGACTCATTTGAATTTAATTTGCATTAAATCCTCGGTAGTATAGCATCCATCTTTTGACTGCTTGCTGTGGGCTAGGCACTGTGCTGAACAGCTCACAAAACATATTTCACTTTACCATCAAGACAATCCTCTGAAAAAGGCATCTTACAGATAAAGAAATAGGTTTAGAGAGGTTAGATAACTTGCTTAGGGTCACTCAGTTAATAAGTGGTGGAAACAGCGTTCTTAACTAAGGTCGCATTCATAAACTACTAATTAAATATAATATTCTTCTAGTGATGATGTCCTACACTGAAGTAGTGTTTCTTTGTTTAGAACCAAAGATTAAATCATGGCATTGCAGAGCTGGAAGGGCCTCTAGGATTTCGATTTCAAAGAAGGGAATAAACAGCTTTTCTCAAAAGCCTGTGATGGCATCTAAATATAAACAGAATTCTTTTTTTCTAAACAAAATAATACCGTTTTTTGCGTCAATTCATGTTCATTTTCTATAACTTTGGTTAATTGCTGTGACCCACACATTGCCTATAACAGAGGGAGGATTTCCTGTTCCTTCTCTGTCTCACTAGTGAGCTCAGACCACCAACAGTTCGGGTTTGGTTTTTGACATCACTTTTGTGCTGATGTGCTTTTGTATTCCCTTTGGTATGCAGGGTTTTGTGAGCGCCACTTGTACGTACACAAGCATTCCTCTGTGTTTTTATTTGCTTAATCCTTTCTAGTCCTAAATATTCTATCTTTTGGAACCTTTGGAACTTCACCCAGTATATGGAAAATCTTTAATTCATATTCTTGAGGCCACTTTAAGTTCAATGTCCTAACTCCTGTGCAGCGCTAGCTACTCTGATTATTTTTCCTACCTTCATCTGGCTGTTCTGGTGTTTACAGACAGTCTCAATGGGCACACTCCCAATCCTGTTATTTACATCACCGAGAACCAGATCTAGCGCAAACTTTAGTCCGATATTGACGTCGACTTGCTTGCTGACCAGACGTTGATTGATTTTAGTATAACGAGCAGAAGCAAACAAACTTTTTTTGTATATTCAATGACTGACTGCTAAGTATTGGGCTCATTGTGGGGCACCCCAAATATAAGGTCGCGCCAGATTCATGTGGGCTGCATCTGTGATGACAATCTGTGGTCACTACCGTAACTGGCCAGTCACTTGCGCATTTTGAGTCTTACATGCGGTAACGATGGCCACAAAGATGAATGACAAGAGGCTTGGGTCATGTTTGCTTTACCACCAAACGGCCAGCAGGTGGCACTGTTCAACTTGACATTTATCCACTGCAGAGCAACTTTTTCCAAAGTTAGAAATTTCTATCACATCACGCAAGTCTGAGGCGGCAGTCCTTCACAACTGTGCACATAAATCTACGTGTTCATTCTATTTCTCACACCCAGTCCCCGGGGAAGGTTGAGGGAGGTGTGTGGTTGTCCTGCTTGTTATAACCTGTGCTTCTCCCCTTCCCACCA